AGAATCTTAGGCTGCAGTCTTATACTTGCACTTATCTAGGAACAAGTCCTATTAAACTCAGAGGGAATTACTTCTGAGTGCACATCTATTTGGCATTAACCTGCATCCAAAGTGGCCCCTCTGCCTCATACTCATCTCCTCTGCTTTGGCAGGTGTTTCAACTGCACCACCTTCGAATACAGGTAAAGGATCTCATTTCTCAGTGTTAAACAATAACCCCTCCAAGTAGAAATCCAGCATAGCAGGCAAGGGGGCTGGCTAGAACATTTATCTCTGTTGTACTATCATATCTGAAGTGTGCAGGCACACAAAAACTTATACCCAGAACAAACTTAGTTGGTCTCTAAGGTGCTACTGGACAATTTTTTTAATTTATTTCGACTGCGTCAGACCAACACGGCTACCTACCTGAATCTCTGTTGTACTAGTTTCCCATTTGCAGGGACATGGTTTCTTTCTTTGTTTTACATGTGGAACATTCAGAAGTAGTTCTCCCATCTATAAGTAGCGCAGTCTATCCACCCAGCATTCTTACAACAGTCTGTAAAGTATGGCTAGGTCAGCATCGGGGATCATTGGGCATCAACTAATGCCCACAACCCTGCAAGGAAACCAGTGCCAACCTCCAGAGGCTCCTGGCATCTTCCACTTGTCTTGCACTGTCTCTCCGGGGCCAAAAGGAGAGTGAAATCAATGGGCAACAGTGGCAGCTGTGAGTCAGATACAGAGCAGAGCACTGGAGGCATTTTGCTCGAGTACCCACCCACCCAAAAACCTGGAGTCAGATCTGAAAGTAGAGTATTATTGTGAGAGGCTAGGAAATAATGGTGTGTTTTTTTGTAGGCCGCTTGCAGGTTCAAAGCCAAGGTTCCATTTGAACCAGGGACTTTCTGGCTCGGTTTATAGCAACCATACCACAGCATCTTTGGGTGTGTCTGAGTGCAATAAATCACCCTCTAACAAATAGGACAATGTTACCTTTACCTGTCTGAAGATACCCCATACTATAATTGAATTCCTTAGCAGAGACAGCAACAGTGCAGTTGATGCACTGTTGGCAATGGATTAATCTTTCATTCCTGATCACTGTTCCCTCCAGCTGGATGGTTTTTAAGCAAAGAGAGAAGGTGGTTCTGGAGCTGCCATTGCCCACACTGTTACTATTTTGGAGTAAAAGGGGGCATTAGTTTGCAGGTTGATGACACGACTCAATAGCAGAAGCAAAGACCCTCTGGAACTGCTAAGACTAGGCAGGTTCAGTGCTCCAAGATGCAAAACAAAGAGGCTTAGGAAAGTGTCATGATCCCAGTGGGCCAAATGTCAGTACTGATTACCTGGTGTGTGTGTGGTTGCCTCTTTTTCTCTTGTGCCTTTAATAGCTTCATGGCGGGCAGAAATTCAACAGAAATGCCTCCATTACATATTCCTCTTGGGAATGCTGCATCTGTTAGCTTTCTGACTCAGAAGGTAAAACAGGCATGCAATCACCACCACTACTACTAGTAGTAGTAGTTTTCAAGACACTGTTGAGTCCAAAAATGTAACTGAGAATTTTGCTGCTGCTGTTCTCATTTAAGAACTGAAACAAGAAGAGCTGTTAAAACACAGAAAACTCCCTCAGTTGCTGTGATAACATGATCTAAACCACTTCATCGTATGAATTCTGAATTGTTAGTACCTGTCAACTTGCAACTTAGCAAAAAAGGAGTCTAGGATCGTATTGAGGTTTTGTTGTTGTTTTTCTGTGGTGAAATCCCTCTGCATTTCATTTTATGATTGCCGAACTTTCTAAATAAAATTCCAGTATACAAAGTGTAAAACATGGAAACCACACAACTCGAGTTGATATGCCAGTTCTCTTCTCAGACAAGAGATGAGACAAGGCAATTGATCAGAAAGGCTGCATCTGTTCTGAGTTGGCTCTAGTGAGTTTCACACTGCAGCTAAGAGACTTAATGTGACTAGGAACTTTCCATTTCCAGGCTTGAGTATGATCATGTTACTCAGTAGTTAAGCTCAGTATTAGGGTATCTTGTAAACAGTGTCTACTGATAGTTGGCCAGTTCTGTGGCCATTTTCAGGAGATTCCTTCCATGCAATTGTAACTGTGTGGAGGGTAAAATTGGGTGTTCGTCACCTACTGACCCCACCCCTGGTGTTCATCCCTCTCAGGACTCCTCCCTCCCCCACCCACAAGCTCCAGGATCCCTGATTTATTTTATTTACATGCATTTCTCCAAAGTACAGTGGTGGTGGTTGTTGTTGTTTAGTCGTTTAGTCATGTCTGACTCTTCGTGACCCCATGGACCAGAGCACGCCAGGCACTCCTGTCTTCCACTGCCTCCCGCAGTTTGGTCAGACTCAAGTTTGTAGCTTCGAGAACACTGTCCAACCATCTCGTCCTCTGTTGTCCCCTTCTCCTTGCACCCTCAATCTTTCACAACATCAGGGTCTTTTCCAGGGAGTCTTCTCTTCTCATGAGGTGGCCAAACTATTGGAGCCTCAGCTTCACGATCTGTCCTTCCAGTGAGCACTCAGGGCTGATTTCCTTAAGAATGGATGCGTTTGATCTTCTTGCAGTCCATGGGACTCTCAAGAGTCTCCTCCAGCGCCATAATTCAAAAGCATCCATTCTTCGGCGATCAGCCTTCTTTATGGTCCAGCTCTCACTTCCATACATCACTACTGGGAAAACCATGGCTTTAACTATACGGACCTTTCTTGGCAAGGTGATGTCTCTGCTTTTTTTTTTTTTTTTGAAGTACAGTGGTACCTCAGGTTAAGTATTTAATTCGTTCTGGAGGTCCGTTCTTAACCTGAAATTGTTCTTAACCTGAAGCACCACTTTAGCTAATGGGGCCTCCTGCTGCTGCCGCACCGCCGGAGCCCGATTTCTGTTCTCATCCTGAAGCAAAGGTCTTAAACTGAAGCACTATTTCTGGGTTAGCGGAGTCTGTAACCTGAAGTGTATGTAACCTGAAGTGTATGTAACCCGAGGTACCACTGTATGGATGTTTGAGGCAGGGGGTAGCAGGGGATGTGGAGGTCTGGCTGATCTCTCCCTTCAATGTTTATGGAGAGCAGCAAGGGCAATCTCATCCTAGGCAGACAAGAATGTTCTGCAGAGTTGGAATGGCTTGAGCACAAATCGGGAGAAAAGAGGCGGCAGATGCAGCAAAAGGGAAAGGTGTTAGGAAGGAGTTGCTCCATTGCAAAATTTAATAAACCTCAGATTGAGGAAGAATTTCCATTAGCAGCTAGAATATGAACTGTATGGTTGTTATATATCATTGCTTTTTGTTAATATCATCATCCAGCAAATTACATCAGGGAAAGACAAAAGCCTGTTTAATAAAATATAGCAATTCTGGTGTCTACATCAATTTTCTATACATGCTATTTCCTTTATTACCTTTCCTTTCTATTGGTATCATTAATTAGGGCATCTATTGAAAGCAGTTTGCATTAGGTTTTTTAGTACAGAAATGTTCATCATAACGTTTTGTTTGATCCTTTAGAAATTCAGATATCTTTTAATTTTCTAACAACCTCATTTAATGTGATGGAAAATACCTAGCCACCAAAGATTGACTCTCCTCCGCCCTACTCCAGTTGGTTGCTAGTGAGACTGACATTTCTGTATGATGCATTTGTAAAACTGAACATCATTTGGATGTAGCCAAAAATGAAAAAAAAGTGCAGTACAGATCCTCTTGAAAATTAGTTTGTGTGTAGGAGATATAAGTCTTTGAGCTTGTTTTAATTAAAATTGCACTTAAAATTGCAAGTATGATCTCTGCAAGTGTGTGATCTGGGGAATGTTTTGTACAGGATGTGAACTTTTATAGATCGCCAAAGAACATATGATCTGGTCATGCCCTATATAGTGGAGAGCCAGTGTGGTGTAGTGGTTAAGAGTGGTAGTCTTGTAATCTGGTGAACCGGGTTCGCGTCTCCGCTCCTCCACATGCAGCTGCTGGGTGACCTTGGGCTGGTCACACTTCCCTGAAGTCTCTCAGCCCCACTCAGCTCACAGAGTGTTTCTTGTGGGGGAGGAAGGGAAAGGAGAATGTTAGCTGCTTTGAGACTCCTTTGGGTAGTGATAATGCAGGATATCAAATCCAAACTCTTCTTCTTCTCTTCTATTCTGGGCAGGGGTCATTGCCAATATTAACTTGGTCATGGAAAAATCCCTAAATTTCTCAGATGCCCATGCTATAGTCAATTATATTCCAAAGCTGTGGGCCTTGATGAAGGGGCAACATAATTGGACTCTGCGTGGCCTGTTGCTGGCCAAATGGTTGATCTTACTACACTGGAAGAAACATTTGTCCCACCCAGTTGCTCAATGGGCAGAATACTTATCTCCTTGTTGCAGCATATGAAAAAAGATGCTTTTAGCAGGCAGCACTAAGAGTAAACACCATGGTATTGGGCACCAGTACTTAGAATCATAGAATTTGAAGGGACCATGAGGACAATGGGATAGCTATGTTGGTAAGGGTAAAGGTAAAGGGCAAAGGAACCCCTGACCATTAGGTCCAGTCGTGACCGACTCTGGGGTTGCGGCGCTCATCTTGGTTTATTGGCCGAGGGAGCCGGCGTACAGCTTCCGGTTCATGTGGCCAGCATGACTAAGCCGCTTCTGGCGAATCAGAGCAGTGCACGGAAAGGCCATTTACCTTCCTGCCAGAGCGGTACCTATTTATCTACTTGCACTTTGACGTGCTTTCAAACTGCTAGGTTGGCAGGAGCCGAGACCAAGCAACGGGAGCTCACCCTGTCGCAGGGATTCGAACCGCCGACCTTCTGATCGGCAAGTCCTAGGCTCTGTGGTTTAACCTACAGTGCCACCCGTGTCCCTAGGAGACTCTTAATCTCAGGGTCATGGGTTTGAGCCCCACATGATCCCACCACTGCCGGAGGGGTAGACCCTTGTGATCCCTTCCAACTCTGTGATTCTATGATCTTCTGGTCCAACTCCCTAAAATGCAGGAATATTTTGCCCACTGTGGGGCTCAAACCCACGACCGTGAGGCAGAGAGTCTCATGGTCTACCATCTGAACTATCCCAGTTTGCATAAAGTATATGCTCAGTGAGCTCTGCTGGAGCCTATCTCCTCCCTTTTCCCCTTCTATCTCCCTCCCCCCACCAAACTCCCTTCCCCCTTTTAGTGTTGTTTCCACCGTATTTACTCTGTGATACTGCAAAAGGAATTGATGATCTTTCTCTTTCCTTTTATTTTTATTCGTAGACCGTATTGTTAAGGAAGAACAATCAATAACTTAAATAAATGAACAAAAGGGACTGACAGATTGGGTTGGGGGGGGCTTTATTCATGGGTAACATCTCCATGAAGCCATATGGGAGACTACCATCAAAGCTTGGGGTAGAATCTTCATTTCAAAGCGGGGTCATCTTAAACGCCAGCACATATTAAGCAGGCTCAATGGGACCACAAGGTTTGCCAAACTTAAAAAAATAATAAGTATTTAGGGAGGGAAAACCCCAAAGGGTAAGACCCCAAAACAGGCCAATGAGAACTTGATGCAAGGATGGTTGGTTAATCAGGAACAAGAACAAAGATATGGATTTGGATAGATGAATGCCTTTAACATTCTTGTGCGTTTTTAAAAGTTTGCTCTATGGTGTTCTGAATTTATTTTGGAAGACTGCCTTTAAAAAAAAACAGTATTATGCACAGACAGTGTGGTGTAGTGGTTCATGTTTTGGTCTAGGGCCTGGGAGAGCAGGCTTCACATCCCCACTTATTCATGAAACTCATTGAATGACCTTGGACATTCAAACCTTCTCAGCTTAACCTACATTGCAGGTTTGGTATGAGGATAAAATGGGAAGAACTATGTTTCCGCCTTCATCTGCTTAGAAGAAAGGTGGAGGAATTTGAAGATGAAGGAGTTACATTTTAAAAGAATTCTTTAAACAGATTTTAAACTGCAAGTTTTTTTTAACAAAAACTGGGGTCCACTATTATTAGTTTTAAAAGCCTTCCTTAAACTTCATACTGAGCATTTCATTCACAACATGTACCAAGTTAAGATGACTCCAAGGACCCAGAATAATGACTATCCAGTCCTTTGTCAGACACACATTTCCTGCTCTGCTCTGAACCATATCATACATTTTTGGAGTTACTGTATTCTGGGTCACTGGCCAATGAGTTCTGTAGACCTGATGGTATATTTAGAATGCACAAACCGGTGCGGATCTCTCATGAATAATGCATCGGGCAGTTATCACACATCAGCAATCACTGCAGAGGCCGCTACTCCATTTCCAAGGTGTATTCACGTTATGCCTTCGCAAGCCAGGCAAGCAAGCCAGAGCTAGCTAGGAGAATGTTTCTGCCTCTCAATGAAACAGATTTTTAAAGGAGATATCAGGGCTGAAAAGGAGCTCTTGAGTCAACTTTAATGACCTGCCTGTAGCTGCCTCCAGGGCCCTAGAGGAGTGAGTTGCGTGAATAAAACTGACACGATCAGCTCTCCTGTGATGCCAGGTGGGGCATGGTGGATGGTGTGTTCTGGAGCATAGCAGAGCCGAGAAGCAGCAGCTCTTTCATTTCCAACGGGAAGAGGGAAGGCCTGGGGTGCCAATGGGAGCTTCCCTCCTGCTGCAAATGGCAGGTGTAGTAGGAAAATTCTGAATGGGACTCCATTACACAGTTCAGATCCAGCTCTCACACAACCCTCCTGCACCATCTCTCTCTCTCTCTCTCTCTCTCTCTCCCTCTCTCTCCCTCCCTCCCTCTCTGTAAAGAGATGCTCTACCACTGAGCTAAAGCACTCCTCCAAGCTCCTTCTCCCCATAGGTAAAGCATATCAGGTGCCACTTTAATCAAATAGAGGAAGTGAATGCTTTTGTTTTTTTATGATTGCTGCTGTTATGTTTTACAGTGGCTGCTCTTAAGTTTTATAGCTGCCATTTCAATGTTTTACATGCTTTTTTGTTTTGTTGTTCAGCATACTTTCGCAGTTTGTCTTACTTGCTTTCATTTTGGTAAGCTGCTTTGCTAGGTGGAAAATAGGAGGGTGAGGGTGATTGGAATACAACTGCTGCCTTGTTGCTCAGAGAAGGGCTTTTCATACCCCCCCTTGCCATTGCAGCCCCCAGTATTTCCCTCAAATGTGAATCCAAACAGTTGGAGGATAAAGTTACCGTGGTTTTATCTTTATACTCCCTTCAAGCTTATTTCATGTTTCACTTGTGCTGGTATTTTATGCGTAAATGTGTTTGTAAACATTTATTATACTGGATGATAGCAAGTAGGTGCTTTCAGCGATGTGACATTTACACCTACTTAGAACTTATTAGATATTTTCATAAAAGTGATGATGAATGTCAAACCATGACATCTTGTATTTTGCATATCATTTAAGTTCCCTTTTGTTGCCTGTGAACACAGTACCTCTCTCACATCTGTTTGGAGATGGAAGAGCTGGAACTCTTTATTTAAATGGATAATCATCCCTGTAGCTTCCTGGATGCACGTTCAGTTGCAATTATTCTCAAAGTGTACAGCACAATGCTATGCACCTTCACTCCAAAGGAAAGTTCATTGAGTTACATGGGGCTGATTACAAAGTTGGGGTGCACAGGAATCTTAGGGGGAAAGGAGGGAAACCTTCTTTTTTTTTCAGTCCAAGGACCAACTTGCTTTCTGAGCAGCCTTCCTGGTGTTGCAGATATTAAGATTGTGCAGTTCAAAGTGACTGGAAGCATAAGAACTTATTCTTTTTGGAAGTAATCATTGTCCAGGCCCATAAAAGAATTATTCAAACTTTTACTTGCAAAACTCTTTAAAAACAGAACATAAGCAACAAAGATACATCCCAAAAATATCCATACAATGTCTTGTACTGTCTAGCACAGGCTTACAGAATATGAAATAATCCAAACAGACCTAGAAGCAGAGGTCTGTCTCTCCCCACACTCTGCATTTCAGCCTCCATTGGCCATAGGCTTTTTATTACCCCTGCAGGACAGCTTCATTTACATCCTCACTCCTTTTTCTTCAAAATCTGCAGGCACGCGCGCACACGCACACCTGAAGCTAATATTTTACTGGTTGAAAAATACGTCCTCCCCCCCCCCCCTGAATTAGCACAGTTAGGAGAAACATAGCAATGAGAGCCCATTCTGATGTGACCTTTTTGCTGTTGAAGTCAGGGCATTGTAGTTCCTTTCATTTACACCAACAGGCATGGTGTGACACAAAAATAAGCATCACTGGACAACATCACAACCCTTTCCCTTTCTGCACTTGTGTACTGGCTGGCATCATCAGCCCCAGCTGGCTGCAGGTGGTGGCAGGGCTTCCCTACTTTTGGGATTTAAACTGACTAATCAGAGGCCAGACTGCGGGGCAGGAATTTGAAGACCAACCTGTGTAAGCCTGTCTTCTCTCAGGTCTGCCTCCGAAACATGCAAGCCAGCTGTGCCACCTTCCAGACTGAAGGTTACGTCACACCTTGTTGGCAGAAAAAGACATTGGGTTGGATCCTTAGGCTAATCAGGGGGTGGGTGTCAGCATCTCGGGGTCGAAAGGCCAGTTGGCTCAGCCCCGCTGGAACGTCTCCCTCTCAGCCTTGCTGCTGCGAAGGTTTCCTCGACCTCTGCTCCAACGTACATCAGTGAACCAAGCTTACAGACTTGAGCACACTTTACTCAGCAGTGTGTACTGCGCAACAGAAGAGGCTTGAGGCTGTAGATACATACTAAAACTACACATTTATTTTACATAAATCAGGACAAAGAAACATGTCGTCTCTCCTTGCCGTCTTCTTGGAGAGAGAGCTAAAAACAAAAACTATACAGAGCGGAAGTTCCACTTCTGCCAGCAATCTGTGCTGGAATGTAAACAGACATGTGACACACAACAATCCCGTGTCTGCAGCAAAAGGTGGAATAGAATCCCAACAATGGGGTGGGGAGGAACTTTACCCCCTCTCCTCTGAATGAAATAGCAGGGTTCCCTGGTAAAGAGGTCCAAGCAAGGGGAAGGATTTTGTCTGGGGCTCTGGAGCAGTAGCCCATATTTGATGTGGTAATATGGGGATCCTTAACCAGGATTGACCCTGATGAAGTTATCAGCCAGCAACTGAGTTGGCTAATCTCGGATACTTGCCCAGTGCCCCTAAGCCAAACCTTACATCTGTAATCCATAGAGTTGTGGCCATTTCAACCCCCAAAATGATGTCATGTCACTTATTGCTTCCGATGCTCCTCCCCCAGTGACCCGAGGCCAACTGCACCTGAGCCCACAAGTGATGTACTTCAGAATTCTGTCATCTCAAGGGCCTCATTCTGTAGAACTATACACTAACTCCAATATAGAAAATAGAACTCTTATGTAAATACTGTGTGCGCAGATGTCACACCCCCCTCCCGACTGCAATATTACTGGGAAAGATACAGACTAGGCAGAGGAAATGATTAGAGGATGTCAAAGGCAGTGGTACATGGAGGGACTTCAGAAAGTAGGATAGTTGAGCTTACAAAGGAGAGATGAATGGGAGGGGATGATGAATGTCACAAACTTATATCTGACACGGTGGCAAAACCTTCATGAAATGCATGGAGGAAACTTTTATGTTCACACCAAGCAGACAGCACTTCATTTTATCAAAATCTTGTAAAGAAAGTGGGCGGAAAGGGGCAGGGGAAGAGAAGGAAGCTTCTTGAAGCTACAAAAGTGTTGAATGAAAATTCAGGGCTGAATTGCCATTTGCATTATTTGAAGTAGCAATTTCAAGGAGTTTGAAAGATTATGCTGAAATTATTTCTGGAGGTGATTGGAAGGTGCGATGGAGCTGAGGGAGTCTTTCCCTACTGGAAGACCAAGTCAGGCTGAACCTAGGTTGTCCAGCTGCTGGGCAGGAGCAGTTTTTATTTTATTTTTTATTTGCAATTAAAAAAAAAAAAATCAAATCTACAACTGACAACATCAAGCAAAAATACCATGGCAGCGAACAGCAAAAATCAACATTAAAATTAAACTGACAAAAAAGTAGTACAAAATGCATCACTTTTTTTTTCCCTAGGGAAGAAAGGAGCTCAGAGAATACAGACTTAAGCTAACCACTGTGTTCATAAGAATTTGCTAAACAACTGTGCAGTCTTAACACATGGAGACAACTTTAGCGAGAAAACTCCAGAGTGCGGAGTGATGGAGGAGGAGGTGGGCAGCCGGGTCAGAAGTGGAGGGCAGTGGCACATCAGGGGATGGTTCCCTGCATAAGAGGCAGCTGCCAGATGCTGGGCCACAAAGCTGCTTGGAGCACTACAGTAAAAGGAGTTTGGAGGGAGACGGTGTTTGCAGGGGATTAATTAAAACGACCCCCTCCAAATCTGTTATCTGTCCCATTGTGAGAACATAATGAGTACGCTTGGTATACACAATGGGTACACACAACATCGGTATGTTTTCCCCTCCTCCGTAAGCATGAAGGAAGGCACTGACTATCCAGAGTAATAGCCGACCACTGTATCCATCTGCTATAAGTGGATGAAATCTCGGGTCTTCCTGTTGTAGAGGAACAATGGTTGCTGAGCTCATTACCGTTAGTTTACTCATGTTATCTGATTTGTAACCAGCCACTTCCAACAGCTTTTGAAATGCAGCACAATTACTTCCTAGGAAATCTGTTATTAAAAACAGAACAAAAGAGTATGATTTTTTTATTATTATTAGTTGTTGTTTTTTTGAAAAAACACCCTTAGATAAAACTGCAGACAATAAACAAAGAAGTCGGGAGATGAACTGCAGCAGGATTTGCCTGGCCTGAATCTTCCAACATTCAGCTCATTGGATGACCCTGAATTCTATCATTATGAGGGAAGGAGAAAAATGTATTTGAATCTACTTTCTTCACATCTTGCATAATTTAATGCACCTCTGTTGTCCTCCCTTGCTCACTTTTCTTTCTAAATTAAAAAGCTCCAACTGTTGCAAGCTTTCCTCGTAGGAGAGCAGTTCCAGCCCTTTGATGAATCTTGTCCACCTGTACAATGTCCTTCTTGAGATCCAGTGAGCAGACCTGTACACAGTATTCCAAGTGTGTTCAGATCATAGATTTTCATAAAAGCCTTGTGATATTGGCAGTTTTGTTTTTAATCTCTTTCCTAATGATCCCTAACATGGAATTTGCCTTTCTCATAGCCACCCTATACACTGTTGATGTTTTCACTGAGTGGGAAGGTGAAGGTTAGCCCTTTTTTCTGACTCTAGTCTTAACAAATAACACTCTCCAAAGCTGCTTTTTGGTACTTAAAAGGCATTCTTCCAGGTTGAATAGCATGGGGAGGGTTAACTCCACCCTCCCAATTGTGATATCCCCATCACCTTTTTAAAAACAAAAACAAAGAATCCACATTTGTGAGAGATCACTTATTTCTCATAACGTCCAGTTCAGCCTTTTTATAAAAAGGCATAAAGGAAGAAATTAGCAAGTTGGTACTTACCAGAAAGAACATTAGGAAGCAGGGAGAAATTAGTAAGAAAGTACTTGGGGAAATGAAGTGGCATGACAGTGAAATGCAATGTGAAAGGACTGGAGATGGAGAAACTATTTAAATGCTAAAAAGGAAGGGTGGGCAGAATAAAGGTCTACACTTGTCCGTGGACAAAGGCAGGGAAGATCTCCAGCTGCCAAATGGCCATAAGATGCAGCATTGCATTCTTCGTGCAAGAGCCAACATAAAGGCAGCAAGAGGTAAACAAAGAAAGCAAGAAGAATTGTGTTGCTGCCAGGTGATGATCAGGGCCACCATCTCCACAGTGGACAGAGGCTGTGTACACACCAGAGTGCTAGTGCCCACATCGTTGCACAGATCCCATTTTTCCATGTGCACTTCTGTGCACATCTGTCCACGCACGAGCATTTTTGAAAGAACTGTATCTCAGTGTTTCTCATCCATATTAGCAGGCAGTTGGTGATGGGAGATATTTGCACTATTTGATATCCCACTTTATCACTACCCAAAAGAGTCTCAAAGCGACTAACATTCTCCTTTCCCTTCCTCCCCCACAACAAACACTCTGTGAGGTGAGTGGGGCTGAGAGACTTCAAAGAAGTGTGACTAGCCCAAGGTCACCCAGTAGCTGCATGTGGAGGAGCGGAGAAGCGAACTCGGTTCCCCAGATTACGAGTCTACCGCTCTTAACCACTACACCACACTGGCTTCCATCCAAGTATGGGTTCCAATCACCCTCCCTCACCTCTGGAAAGCTGAGGCCCATTGTGGGCATGCATGCAAGTATTTTTTTATGCATGGGCCAATTATGTTTGTGACACAAGTTTCCAATATACCAAACTCGCACAGAACAGTGGGTTAAGAAGTGTGTGTGCTGTGCCCTTTCCCACCAGCAGTCCAACAACGAGCTCCTCATCAATGAAAGTAAGGCAGGCATGACCAAACTCGGCCCTCCAGCTGTTTTGGGACTACAGTTCCCATCATCCCTGACCACTGGTCCTGTTAGCTAGGGATGATGGGAGTTGTAGTCCCAAAACAGCTGGAGGGCAAAGTTTGGCCATGCCTGATAAGGGGTGTGGTGATCAATGGTACCAAGCAAAATGTCACAGCACATGTTAAAAACAATATAAAATGCTCACGCAATGTGCTTCAACATGTCTGCTGTTGGGTAACATTTTATGTTGGAGCTTTTCCCTTATCACATTATCCACATTTGTGTGGGTGGGGGGTAATCAAGCTGCAGACCTTTTCTATACACACACACTACAAATTACACATTATTCGTAAGCATTTTCTCACATCCCATTGGGAAATGTGTTAAGCCCAGAAAAATAAGCACAACAGAAGCATTCTGTTAGAAGTTTGACAAGCTTTCTAAGTGCAATCAATGGTGAAGCTATGTATTCAAGAATAATAGCATTATCGTAAACATCTGTTTCAACACAGCAGTATGAGCATGATCATACAATATATGTGGATATGACTGATATGGGAAAATTTGATTATAAACTCTGCTGTGAAATTATACAGTGACTACTCTAATATGCTCAGCTGCAGATGTAAACAGTACATACAATGTTCCTTTGCATATTCCTTCAATTTAGCAGCAATTTACAGAATTAGCCATTTTCATGTAATCATTTTAAAATTATATTTAACAAAGCTCTTTCATTTCTTTTCTTACTCATACAGCTTGAACCTCTCTGCTTGAATCAATTACAGAGAGAGCTTAACTCAAGTTGTCATTGAAGCTTGGGAGAGAGAAGCCTATCTTGTTTTCAATAATCTCTCCCCACCTTTCCAATACAGTTGTTAAAGAATCTGGCAGAAAATTAGTGTCAGGCAGTGCATGATTTTATTTTATTTATCCAAAAAGTTGGAGCTGTCCACCCTCTTTGATTTGCTCATTCCAGATTGTGATTTGATTTCTTTCAGAGTCACAGAATGGCCTGGTTTGTGAAAGTGCTAATTAGGGATGTTCACCTTTAAATGCAAAGTGAATCGAATTTCTGCTCCATCCCTAGACTGTCAAGTAAGGGAAAGGGGGTCAAGGAATGGATGACTAGAAAAAGCTAGGGCCAGAGTGAAGCAGAGAGGGAAGCAAAGCTAACGGGGCTTACAAAAGCAAAGCTGGAGGCAGCGTTTATCCACCAACATGGTTACAGCCCAACTGTATCTTCAAAGGCCTTTACTGAGCATCTCTCCACTGGCAATCAAACAATATATTAGGATATGAAACTTTATTTTACACACACACACACACACACACACACACACACACACACACTGTGTGTCTGTGTCTGTGTCTGTGTCTGTGTCTGTGTGTAATTCCAGGTACAGTAAATCTGCCCTCTTGACCAAACACTCTCACACTACAGTGGAACCTTGCGTTATGTACCGTCCTCCTTACGAACATTCGGGTAACAAGCTCCGCTAACCTGGAAGTAGATGCTCCTGGTTGTGAACTTTGCCCCGGAATGCGAGTGGAAGTCGCGCGGCGACAGCAGCAGGAGGCCCCATTAGCAAAAGCGCGCCTCACGTTAAGAACGGTTTCGGGTTAAGAATGGACCTCCGGAACAAATTACGTTCGTAACGGAAGTACCACTGTACTTTCCTTGGTGGTATTCTGTGAGTTTTCTTTCTTTCCTTCCTTCCTTCCAACTTAATATAATTACTAGGGACCTATTAGGCTAGCAGGGCAAACCTTAAGTCAGCCTGACAACATTATGCACGTGACATATCAGTTTTAGCACAGAAATAACCTGCAGTGCTGACAGCTGAAGCAAAATATGTCAGTCAGAGAACAGGCACCTTTTACTTTCAGACTGCTGCAGCAGCTCTTGTTATGATGAACCATGGAAGTTGGTGAGCTGCTCATAGCATTTGACTGGGGAGGAATTCCCCCCTAACATTTTATCATCCATAGATGAACTGCTTCAAAATAGGCCTGTTTTGGTGATCTTGTAGGCATAGGCATAGCTGCCCAAACTCTTTGCCTAAATAAAACATCAAGTCATCATCAGTTCAGGATCTTCACTTATCTGATCAGTGGGAGTTTCTTGGAAAGTATTACAGACCCTCCAAGTGTGTCCCTATTTTTCAGGGGCATCCCTGATTTAGAGAAGCTGTCCCGGTTTCTGATTTGATTCTGGAATGTCCCACTTTTCCATAGAATGTCCCTGTTTTCATTGGAGAAATGTTGGAGGGTATGGTATTATAGAATCAGGTCCCTTTTGAGAAATCAAGTTCTCCTCCTAGAGAGCATGTGTTGCGGTGAGGTCACCACAACCGAAGGGGTGGAGGGAAGTCCGATGCTCGGCAGAGCTAAAGATAAGTATGTGATTTATTTGTATAATGAATGTATGTTTAATGAAAAAATAATAAAAAATTATTGGCAAAAAAAACAGAACCCCAAAAAACAAATCAGAAAACCGAGACGGCTTCTCTAAATCAGAGACAACCCTGAAAAATAGGGACACTTGGAGAGTCTGGACTATGAGCTGGGAGACTAGGGTTCGAATCCCCCCTCAGCTATGAAGCTCACTGGGTGACCATCTCTTAGCCTAACCTACCTCACAGGATTGTTTGTGAGGATGAAATGGGGAGGAAGAGAACCATGTACACCACCTCAAGATCCTTGGAATATAAAGGGGGTATATAAATATAATAAATAAAACAAATAAGGAAAACTCCCTACTAGCAGAGGTTCAGGAGGAATTGTCGTCTTCTGGAAATTGTATTATTTAAACAACACTTTGCAGTATATATTATTTTTAAATGACCACTATTTACTGATGTTTTATACTGATTTTTATTATATTCTTGTATGTTATATGCCACCTTGCTTTACTTTGTAAAAATGCAGATTGTAACTACTTCAGTGACTAAATAAACAAACATCACCTTATGCTATAAATGGGGAATGCTTAGAAATTCCAATATATAGAGTGCCAGCCAGGTTAGTCTCCCTTGAATATTAATTCACCACCAGTACTGTGCCTTAACCCTGCTTTTCTTTGGGATGGTTAATGCTTATAAAAATTACAGTAATTAATACAATATAATTACAGTATAACCAGCCTGATACTTGGGAAGTAGATAAGGAAAGAGCTCTCTTGTTGAGCACGCCAACTATGTGAGAGAGAAATTAATTCTAAGTTTGCTTAATCATTTTTGTGACAGAGAAGCACAAGTTATTTAAAACATTTCTCACAAAAAGAAAAATACAGCTGGAGCTGGGCCCAATGTAACATGTCAATATTACAGTGTAAGGTCCTAAATGACCTAGGCCTCCTCCCATACCAACTTGCCTCTTTTAACAACTGCAGGAGAAGCTCTGCTGATGGTCCTCATGCCTAATGAGATTTCTTGGGTGAGAGTCCATGACTGGGCTCTCTCTTCAGTGGCCCCTTTGCCTTCCGAATGAACCTTCTGAAGTGCATCCAACCATGATATTGATGCCATTTTGGTCACAGCGAAGACATACCAGGCTTTTGAGGAGGAGTGAAGTGTTTTGGATATTTGAATTTCTATTTCTGCCACTTGCTTGCTTGTAAACGAGGTCTGTGTTTTGTTGTTGTGTAAATATAAATATCAAACTGTCAGGGCTGCCTCAGGTCTCAGCTCACAAAAGACCAACGCCAATTTCTTCTTATATACAAAAGTGTTTATTGGAGTTCATTGTTTGCTTCACATCCGAGGCGCGCAGCCCCACGTCTGTTACGCTTAGACCGTTGAAGTCCCCTCTGAGTCAGTCCCTCCCCTGCACCAGTTTAAGAGGCTTGCGCTGCTCCACCTCTTCCTCTCTTTCCTTTTCCGCAGGGTCTTCCTGCCCGCTGGGGTTTCGCCCTCCTGGATTCCCCTGACGCGGAATCCCCAGATTGCTCTTCCCCCCTCCTGCGGGCTTTGGGACCTGGCTCCTCCTCCGGGCTCCCTGTACTTCCGCGCGCCTCCACATTTGAACTTGACGCGCGCGCCCAACCTCTAACCTTCCTTTTGACAGTTACACTACTCCCTTCACTACTCCCCTCCCTTTCCGGGAGGGTGGCTTGCTCCGACCTCCCTCCCTTCTCTGCTGCCGGAGCTGCTTCCCTGATACACTGGAACCTCCACCCCCTTCGCTGCACTCTGGCGGGAGGCTGGTCCTGACGCCCAGCTGCCACTTTGGGATCCCCGCTGGCCCCCTGCTCCTGACACGTCCCCCTGGGGCTCCCTGGCCTTGACCACCGGCGCCCCCTTCTGGGAATCCTCTGATTCGCTGGAAAGACTCATGGAATCTCTTGAGTCATTGTCATCCTCTTCCTCGCTGTCCTGGGATTCATCCCCATCGCTCTCCATCTCCTGCCTACCCTGTGCCTCTGTCCCTGAACCCCTGACATCCATCCCCCCCTCGAAGCCCCCCCTTCCCCCCTCCCGCTGCTCGGGCGCAGGTTCCGGGAGCTCCGTTGTAGCGGGGGTAGATGCTGAATACAGTCCGTCGACGTCGATCTCCTCTGCTTCCAGTTCAGTGTATGAGTGCTCGAAACCGGGGTCCCCCAACACATCCAAGTCCTCCCCTCCCCCTGTTACTTCAGGCGATGCTGCTTGCCAAGGCCCCCTTAGCCACCTCCTGCGCCACTCCTCTTCTGGTTGATCGTCCCACCAATAAGAGCGGTCCGTGTCCACCCCCGAGCACGATCCCCTTGGAGGGCTTGATTCTGGCGTGGTCTCCTCTGCGGAGGAGAACCCCCGGAAGGTGCTGTCTGAAAGTGTGGGCGTAAACAGCCAGTCGTCAAAATACTCCGCTGGCATGGGCCTGTGTGGGAAGAGTGCATGGAACTCGTCTTTAAGAAGAGGTTCCTCCAGAGCATAATCTGGCACCCAACTGTTGGCGCTGGCCGGGGTACCTTCTCTGGCGAGGAGGTATTCTACTCCCTCCTCCCCCCATCTCGAGTCCAGAATTTCCGTGACCTCGTTGAGTGTCGGGGCCCTCGGTGACTTCCCCCCCCCGTGACTTTCTACGTGGGTCTGGTGCCGTCCCTGGCTCCTGAAAATCTGTGTGGGGCCTTGTAGGGTGTAAGCACCGACCTATGAAAGACCGGGTGCATTCTGGAACCTTCTGGGAGGGTCAACCGAAAAGCTACGGGATTGATCCTGCCCTCAACTTGGTATGGCCCTAGCTGTTTGTGTCCTAGCTTCTTCTTAGCTAACGACTTGGCCGGCACCGCCTGGGCTGCTAACCATACCCAGTCCCCCACCTGGATGTCGTCTCCTGCCCTCCTGTGCCTGTCTGCCTGCACTTTGTAGGCGTGTTTAGCTAGCTCCAAGTGCCGTCGTAGCTCCTCGTGGATCTCCTGCAATTCTGCTGCTAAATGCTCAGCTCCCTGCGGCTCCCCCATCGTATGTGCCTCTGGCTCTGGAGCTTCGCCGTGCGCCAATACTCTAGGTTCTTGTGGTCCGTGCGGACTTGCACGGTGTGCTTGGCTCCGATGAGGAAGTGCCGCCACGCCTTGAAAGCCGCGTGGATGGCCAACAACTCCCTGTCCCAGATGGTGTAGTTCTGTTCCGACTTGCTGAGCTTCTGGGAATAGAAAGCGCAGGGCCTCCAGTTCCCTTGCGGATCTTCCTGCAAGAGGACGGCCCCCACTGCTCTGTCAGATGCGTCAGTCTCAACCCGCATGGGCCTGCCGGGATTCACGTGTAGCAGCTGTTCTTCGGACGCGAAGAGGCTCTTAAGTCTCCTGAAGGACTGCTCTGCCTGGTCCGTCCAGGTGAACTTTTTCTTCTTGGAACTGAGGGTGTCCGTGATAGCTGCCGTCTCTTTCGCGAAACCCCTGATGAACTTGCGGTAAAAGTTGGCGAAGCCGACTAACCTCTGGACCTCCTTCCGATTGCGCGGGCTGTTCCAGTCCAACACCGCGCGGACCTTGGCGCTGTCCATGGCTAGTCCCTTGTCGGACAGCCGGTAGCCCAGGAAATCCACCTCCGTCACGTCGAACTGGCACTTCTCCAGTTTGGCGTAGAGTCTGTGCTCCCGTAGCCTCTGCAGGACCTCCTTTACGTCTCTCTCGTGAGTCTCCTGCGATTCTGAGAAGATCAGAATGTCGTCGAGGAAGCATACGCACTTCTTGTAGAGGAGTCCCGCTAGCACGTGGTGCATGAATGCTTGGAAACAGTGGGAGCCATTTTGGAGACCAAACGGCATAACTCTGTATTCATAGGTGCCCAGCGGCGTGAACATGGCCGTCTTCCACTCGTCACCTTCCCTCATGCGTATTAGATTGTATGCTCCGCGTAGATCCAACTTGGTGAAGACCCTCCCCTTCCTCACCGTCGCGAGCAGGTCGTCAATTTTGGGCATGGGGAAGGCCTTGGGCTTTGTCATCGAGTTTATGGCCCTATAGTCCACAATGAGCCTTTTTGGGGCGTGTCCTTCTTCTTCACGAAAAACACAGGACTGCCACCCACTGCCTTGGATTCTCGGATGAATCCCCGCTTCAAATTGTGATCTATGAACTCCCTGAGTTCCTGCATCTCATCTTCAGACATGGAATACAGCTTCGCAGTCGGCAGCGTCGCCCCTGGTAAGAGGTCAATTGCACAGTCGTAGGGCCGGTGGGGTGGTAATTGGTCAGCTTCCTTTTCGCAGAAGACCTCCAAAAACCCCTTGTACTTGTGGGGCACCGCCTGCACCATGCCTAGATGCAACTGTTGCCCTTCCTCCTGGCCCTCCTCCTCCTGGCCGGTCTGGATGCAATGTTGTGCGCAGTAGGACGAGCCAAAGGTGAGCTGCCGCTGGTACCACGCTAATGATGGGCTGTGTCTATCCAGCCAACTCATGCCTAACACTATAGGCGTGTCTGACAGTCGGGTGACGTTGAAACTGATGACCTCGTGATGATTCCCAATCTGCATCACCATGGGTGGCGTCTGCTGTACCACTTGCCCGCCCAGCAACTTCCTGCCATCTACCGTGACGACGTTCAGAGGCAGCGTGGCTGGTAGAAGCGCTATGCGATGCTGCTTGATGAACTGCACCCCCACGAAGTCTGCGTTGCTCCCTGAGTCAATTGTAATGGGGACTTCCAGGGTGAGTCCATTAGGTAGCTGGAGAGTAGCAGTGAGCTGCACCACTGGCTTGGGTGGTAAGGGATTTGTAGGCTGCAAAAGCGCTGGGGACTGCTTTACTGACTCGCCTGGCTGAGCCCCAGCATGTCTGCTTCCAGCCAGGCATTGTCGTTTCCCTGAAACTGCTCTCCTTGGAGCGCTGCTCCTGTTACTGTTGCTAAGGCTGCAGTGTGCTTCTGGAGTCTCTGGGGACACTCTTTGGCCATGTGCTGCGCACTGTCACAGATGTAACACTTCCTGGTCCCTCTAGGAGGCTTCGCCTTGACTGCTCCGGACGCTGAGGCTCCGGCAGCTGTCTGAGCCTTTGCACCACCAAGTTCCATTGGTTCCTCCCCCTCCCTCAGCCGAGGCGAGGGATGCATACGTCCCAGGTCCCTGGGAAGAAAAGGAGGCGCTCTAGCTGGTGCGCGGACTTGGCGCCCCTCCTCACTGTGCCAAGGGCGTTCTTCGTGGCGCACTCCTATCGTGAGTGCCCTCTGCACGATGTCTGCTAGGGTTTGAGGTCTGTCCCCCCTGGCCAACTCATCTTTTACGGAGCCATGGAGCCCCTCCCAGAACAACTCTCTCACTGCCAGGAGTCTTTTCCCAGCCCAGCACATTCAGCAATGCAAAAAAGCGAGAATGGTACTGACGCACTGTAGCCTTGTCCTGCCGCAATCCATGCATCTCCCGTCGCGCCACATCAACGTCAACGGTAGATTGGAAGCAAGCGTCCATGGCTTTGATAAATTCGTCAGAGTTCCTGCGGGCAGGACCATCTTCGCGCCACAAATTGCGTAACCAGGCTCTAGCTTCCCCATGCAAGTGGGACACAATAAAGCCTACTTTCTCCTCCTCATCTTTGAAGTCTACCCTGTGCCTCTGTCCCTGAACCCCTGACACAAACTAATATATTTATTGAAATGGAAACCTAATATTATGGGAGGTGGCAGGTGGCAGGTGGCACCTTGATTCCTAGAGGAAGGAACTTCATGCAGATTTAAAAACCAGTCTCACAAATGGGGTATGGTTGGTCTGTATTGTTTCCTCTTGAACCTACATGGAACTTGATTTTTTTTCTTTAAAAAAATACAGTGGTGCCCCGCAAGACAAATGCCTCGCAAGACGAAAAACTCGCTAGACGAAAGAGTTTTCCGTTTTTTGAGTCGTTCCGCAAGACGAATTTCCCTATGGGCTTGCTTCGCAAGACGAAACGTCTTGCGAGTTCTTGCGAGTTTGTTTCCTTTTTCTTAAAGCCGCTAAGCCGTTAATAGCCGCTAAGCCGCTAATAGCTGCTAAGCCGCTAAGCCGCTAATAGCCGTGCTTCGCAAGACGAAAAAACCGCAAGACGAAGAGACTCGCGGAACGGATTAATTTCGTCTTGCGAGGCACCACTGTAAAAGGAAGAGGAGAAGCAACAAAACCTTCCTAACACCAAGTATAAGTGTTAAGGCAACAAGTTGTGGATCACTAGATTATATGTCGGAATATAAGGCTCTCAGTTTTTCTCTAATCACTCCCCCTTTGATAACATACACAAATTCACCATGTCACCACAATGTTCATGGTTTCACTTCCCAGCTGCTGTGAGCTTCTAAACAGCAGCGAGAAAACAATGGTCAATGAATTATGAATATGCCTTGGCAGATTGGGTTTAACCCCAGAAAGATTATTACAGGGATGATGGCTTCTTGTGCGTTTTAATTGGTGACGAATGAGTTGCTTTCCTAGATTTCTCTGCCATCTTCCAGCTACGTTGGCTTTCCCTTGGTTTAACATTATAGCTGATTGCTTATACAGAGGCTACCCTGCTGTTACAGTGGAAATCTCCAAATAATTAATATTTCCCTCCCCACTACCCTGCCAACCTTCTTAGTTATGAAGCTCAGGAAATCAAATGAAGCCAGCAGTGCTGTTATGGCATCTTAGGCAGGAGTAATGCTAAACAGCCAGATCCCACAGAAAAGGAAGTTAGGTTCAAAGACTGGTGTGATTGCCTTTTTTTTTTTTAAGTTCCTACAAAAGTGAATTACCTACTTTACCAACTCAATTATCTAAAGCAACTCTCTTACTTCAAGGGATGTTTGAAGAGCCTCTTCACATATGCAGTTTCTTCAGTCTTCACCTAAGCTGCCCATCTGGTGAAATTCTACTCATGGCACCCTGCTCATGGCACGCCTTATAGGGCGGTGACCCAGAGGACATAAATTGACATAGGTCAATTTATAGTGTTTAAAATGTGTTATAAACATGTGACACCAGATGGCGCTATAGAGCAGAATCCAAAGTCAATGGCAGATTGCCTTGGGAGCTTTTTTTCTATAGATTTTTTTCCCCGTAGCGTTTCCCCCCTGCCCCCTGTATGGATCCAGCCAAAACATACATTTTCCACTGTTGCCCCTGTACTGTGGAATGCCCTTCTGCCGTATGTGAAGCAACAACCATAAGTTGCTTCAGACACCCTGTAAAGGCTTCTCTCTTTGCCCAGGTTTTTCAGACCACGTTTTATGTGTATGAATCCATGGATTCATTTTTTAAATTTGTTTTTATATGTTTTTACATTGTTGTTTTATTGGTTTTCGGTTCTATTTTTGGTTTAATGCATGTCACTTTTATATTGTACATACCGTACACTGCGAAGACATTTTCAAACTATTCATTGTGAACCGATCTGTGTGGCAAGCCTCAAATGATTCACTGCTTGTAGCAGTTGTTGTGCAGAAGCCATTTTGAGCAGTCTGCATGAGGCAGGTTTTTTGTGAAGCCACCATACCTTTCTCACTGGTGATCGAACCTCCCTACCCCTTTGAAAACTCATCCTTTCTCCTCTTTCCCCCTCTTCTTTTCTAGTTTTATTGAGATTCCCTAAACAATGCCAATGGAAATTAAGGAAAGCCTTGCAAGAGCTGAGCTTGCACGTTCAAAGTGCATTGTAAAACCTCAGCTGATCTTCAAGTTAATTAAAATAAAGATGCCAAAGTTGCTGGGCAGACTGATTTCCCTGACTTTATCTCCTTTGGTAGCAGAATGAGCAAAACATACCTACTTCGGAAGTTATAAATAGAGCAGAATAGCAATGACTTACAGCCTGCTCTGCAGTGTTAAAGCATGGTGGTGTGATGCATCTTCATGTTTTTGCTTTTAGTATACATTTAGGAATATGATCCAAATGACTGCCAGCATTTAAAAATCTACTCTGTAGTTTTGTTTATTGTAGTCAGATAATGGAAACAGCAGATTTGAGGATCATAAAGATGAAACTTAGGCTGCTGAAATAACAAAAGCAACAACAAAATTCTCTCTCGCACGTGGTGCCTTTGGTGATGCATAGTGCCACTTAATACACAGTTCTTCCAGATGCCATAGAGAGAGCTTTATACGTGGCTGCCAGAGTTTCCTGGCACGGAGGCCTATCATGGAGGCTCTCCACCCATTCTCAGGTTTTCAAAAATTATGACAATTTCAGAGTTTCAGACATTATGTAAATTATTCTAATCACAGATATCTATTGTTAAACCATGCAGATATACCTAATTCCTGTTCCTGTAAATATTTCCTTGCTTAGCTCAGATTTGTTGGATGTTATTCATTACAATAAAAACATAAGTACTCCCCCCTCCCAACAGCTCAGCTGCTAAGCAAATAGATTTTGTTTTGGCCTTCCATGAAAGGCTCCAACTAATTCCACTTGGGTTTTGGTCATTTTCCAAATCTGCTTCTGAATTCATACTGGGTATTCAGCTCCTGGAAGGACATTGGAAGAGGCAAGGGAGTGCACTGTGTTTCTGATGCGAGATTGCTGCAAAACGCCTATTCCCTCACACCCTCCTCCAATCCCCATTTATGCCTGACCAGTGATGGCAAGTGACCATCCGGACTGGCAGTGCAGAAGGCAGGAAGACAAAAGCAGGTACAACCAATGAGGAGTGGACCTGGATCCAGTGACAAGCAGAGACAACTAATTCTAGTTTTGTCCCCATCCACCTGCTGAGTTCTACAAGGGCAACACAAAGGCCACATCCACACCATACTGTTAGGAAATTGGGTTTGTGTGGGGGCCCAATTCCCCTAAATTCCAGGATGTAGTAAAAGTTAGAATCAACTTTGCCAAACATGGAAACCCCCTGGATTTAGTTATGCTTATGAGCCAAGCCAGTTCGTCCATTAGCATGGACCATCGAGGAAACCATCAGTATGCAAGCCAATCAATGGGGGTGAGGCTCCTTCTTTCCTGGGTGCTGGTGGGCAGAGGCAAAGGCCAGGTTAAGGGTTTCAACACTGAATGATGTAGGCTGTGGGGAGGTCCCTGGAGGAGTTTAGCAGTGCGAAGCAGAAGGAAGGGCAGAACTCGATGGGAGCTGGGAATGGCAGGCTGGGACTAAGAGACACAGAAGACGGTTTTTTGCTATCCTTTGAATCTAATGCTGCCCTTAAGGAGAAAGCCAGACCTGCATAGGATGTGAATGCACTACTATCCCTCCTTCTAAGTGCAGGTTGTATATATGTGTAAATATAACTCTGTATCATAAAGACACCAAAGTCTCTGTGGTGCTTCGTTGTTCCAAAAGGAACAATAGACTCTGGCAGGTGAGCCTGCAACCCCTCACATCACTTGGAAATTGGGATTGTATGTAACAATACATATAAAGCACTATGATACCAATTTAATCTGTCAAGGTCCGTCCCCCCCCCCCCCCCCGTCCCCCCGCCTGAATCCTGGGAAGCATAGTTTATGAGTGCTGATAATTGCTAGGAGATCCCTATTCCCCTCATGGAGCCACAGTTCCCAGAGTGGTTTAACAGTCAAACCCTCTGCCCTGAGAACTCTGGGAATGGTTGTTTTGCAAACTACAAAGAATTCATTGGGGGAGGCCATGCCTGTTTAAATTGGCATCATAGTGCTTTAAATGTATGGTGCGAACGTGGCCTTGGAATAAGGAGAAAGACGCTGACAGCAAGGGCTAAAGGCAGACAGGTGGTAGCTGGCTGAGGACAGAATAATATGGGTGGAGTAAGGCTCCGCTCATCCTAATGGACCAGACTCCACTGTGCCTCACTATGTTGTTGCTTGTAGCATTCTCTCTCTTTTGTCAGATGTGGAAAACAATGGCACTCTTGATAACGTTAAACAAAAGGAGAACAAAAGAAAAGAGGAAATGAAGGAGGGGAAATTGAGAATTGCACAGAAATGCCATTTTGTTTTCTTTGTGGGATCAGCACTCCTGCGTCTCAACTAATTGCACTGCCCATGAAAGCTCATTTGTAATAATTACTCAGTGATAAGGTTAGCTGAGCTACAAGGTCAGTACTCTACAAGTCTCTCCTTGTAACACAGGCAGACATTAAGGGGAAGGCAATAATTCCTTACAGCTATAAAAATAGAGTAAGGTCAAGTCACTCTCCTTGCAGTTCAGTATGGGCTGTTTGAGCCAACACTGTGTGCTCCTCCCTGCAAGATTTGCTTTATTTTCTTGTCAACATCATTCAAAAACTTTCACAGCAGTTTAGTATCAACAGTTGTGGCAGTACTTTCCCCAGAGAATCTGGGGGAAAAGAGAAAAAACACACACACAAACACACAGTTGGGATTGTGAGACAGAAAAGGGTTTTTCAGAGAATTGAAGATGGTATGGTGAATTTCCGGTAAAATATTGGGGAAAATAGATTTTTTAAAAAAAGTGTCAGAAGATAGCTGACAACAGCACCAACCAAATCTCAGGAGACAAAGAGTTCATAGTTGGGGTGTCACCATGGAAAAGGCCCTATTCTATCCTTCACCACCATTCCATGTGCCCCACCCATAGGTGAGAACATGAAGCCACCCTGCTAGTATTAATACATGGGCATCTTAATACAGTGGTACCTCGGGATGCGAACGGGATCTGTTCCGGAGCCCCGTTCACATCCTGAATAGAACATAAGATGCGACTGCACATCTGTGCATGCGCAGGTCGCGTTCTGCTGCTTCCGTGCATGCATGTGATGTCATTTTGAGCGCATGCGCGAGCGGCGAAACTTGGAAGTAACATGCTCTGTTACTTCCGGGTTGCCTTGGAGAGTAACTTGAAAACGCTCAACCTGAAGCACATTCAACCCGAGGTGTGACTGTACAGTGAAAGAAGTTCCTTTAGGTGTCTGGGTCAGACGTTGTTTAAAACTTGTCTTCTAGTACAAACACTGTTTTCCCTGTCATATCTGAGCAAACAAAATATGCAAGGTTTTGAATCCCTACAAAAACCTGAAGAACCTTTGTACCATATTATCACTGCACCATTTTGCAAATTTTAAAAAGGGGCAGGGCATAACATAAATCATTATTCGTTTCTGACTTCTGGTTGAAGATGGCGACAACGAAGACTACTTGTCCTTTAGCTCCACAGTCTGATTTAATTTGTTTTTGTTGTTTTTTGAATAGTTTTAAAGTCAGTTGACTCAGCTGTTAATGATAATTGCAACAACAGGCAGGAGCGCATTTCTTTTACATGGACTTAAAAGCCATATATTTTAATTGGAGGACAGGCACTGGGAGAGCAGCTGTTTTGACTCGGTGTTCAGCATTTAGCTGATAAGGAAAGAATAGAAGTTCATCTCGACTGAAGGAGACACTGCAGTTATATCAGTCTTGATATGGTTACCACACAAGCACAGACCTGCAGTGCTTCAAATAAATCGTCCAGAACTCCATTAACAAATTTAGTCCAGAAATATATACTGGACTGTTGTGAATCAGTAACTGGAGCAGCTGGAGCAAGGTAAATGGAGCTAACTGAAAAGCATTTGCAGCAAGATACAATTAATTTATCATATATGAATTGCCCTAGTTCCTTACATGGCGACTGTGCAAGAAATGTAACATACGTAATATGTTCCTGTAATGAAAGCTTAGCCTAAATAGTTAGTTATCTGAACTTGTTAGGAGTTGATACATAGGCTTCCAGGCAACTGCAGCTTCCTCCATATAACAAAACCTCAACAATGTGCAATAACAATTGTAGCATAATAGACTTGGCCACAACAAAATGAAACTCTCACCATGGGAACTTTTATGTGACCAATTCTCTTGACACAACAAACAGCAGAGGGAATCCTTAGCAGAATCAATGCTTTGGAAAAGGAAGTTTATGGTTTGAATGCCATAACTGGTGCACTACTTGGGTTAGTAGAGACAGGAATTCTGTCTGTAGCCCTCCAGATGGGACCTGCCAGTGAAGAAACTGAAGTTGGTGGTGGTTTGGAGGGATATCAGGGAAACCTCTACAATGGCTTGAATTCCTGTTTGCAATTCAGATTCTGTTTTCATTATTCTGCCTGATTTCTTCACTGACCAGTTATGAACAACATCTGTACAACACCTCTTTCTAGAAGAATCATCATTAGAATTTGGACTTTCCCCCTCACTCACTACTTTTCCAAGTGTGTTTATGAATCCATCATTTATTGCCTTTTTCTCCCACTTGTACTGTGGGGCGGGAAATGTGGAGTGTCTGCCTGTAACCTCCTGAGTTCCATCAAAAGATGCTACATTGGGGCTTGAACAAATTAGGTGTCGGACTGAAATCATTTCCTTGGAAGGTAGCAACTGGGTTATCAGCATACTCATCCACTATCAGTAGCCTTGGATCTGAAGGGGTTTATTCAAGAATGGAAAACTCAAATCTATCTCCTGATCATTCATATTGGTGTAAAAGCAGGTCTCCAAGTTCCAATCTCGATGTCTTTTAATTCTTTAGCTACTGAATCTGTTACTTAGTGAGCTCAGAGCTATCGCTGTCTTGATATGCCCACCTTGTTTCTGCATTACACATTTTTGCATTTATGTTTTTGAATGAGCAACTTGGAAATGTTTTCACTAAAAATGCAGAATTTCAATATTTTTTTGAGCCAAGAACTGTGCTGCAACATACAAAGAAGTGAAAAAGGTGGATATCCAGCCTGTGTGTTAGTCCAGGATGTATGACTCAGGTCAGTTGAAAACATAAGACATAATAATGTAAAATGTACCTGTTGCATCAGGCCAATGACGTCCCTTTCTTACAGGTGGCCAACCAGATGCCTGCAAGATGGACATGTGATCATCATCACTCTGCCCATCTGCGATTCCCAGCACTGCTATTCAAAGGTAGAAAGCCTCTGAAAGTGGAAGTACAACATAGCCTCATGGTTAGTAGACAATGATTGCCTTTGCCTCCAGATCATATTGGAGGTAATAAAGATCCAATTCCTCAAGCATCCCTAGTTGACTAACGTTCTTATTTTCTAATGAATGCAAAAGCTGGTATTTGCATGACCTTTAGCAATGTTAATGTTTAGTGGCACTTTCTCATGAAGATGTTCAATAGGAGCAGTGCAGAAATCAATAAATGTGATTATGATCATGGCTTTGGAAACAAAGGGTCACCGATTAAAATAATGTTTGTTCAGGAACATTCTGACTTCTCAGAGAAAGCTCAGCTTCAAAAAGCACTGTATGTTTTTGTTTATATTTAAATATTTAGAAACTGCACTTTCATAAAAAAAATTGTAGCAAGGCGGTATACAACATAAAAGCATAATGTTACAACAACATCAGTAAAAAACATGGTTGGTTTTTGTTTTGTTTCTTTTATTTTAAATCGCATTCCAATGTTCTGTCTAAGCAGTAGAGTTTTCAAAAGTTGTGGAAAAGAAAGCTGGGTGACTGCTGCCCAACTTTTATAGGGGAGGACTTGCACAGGGCAGAATCTACCATACTAAAGACTCTAGTAAAGGCCACCTGAACAAAGGGGTATATGAGACCATCCAAAGTGCCCCTTCAGAAGATCTCAGTGATCAAGATTGAGCTATAGGAACAGGGTATACAGGGAATACAGTGAGCTGCAAAGAGAAGAGAGGAACTAGGATGCATGGTTTGAAGCACAATGATATCAACGTCACAAGTTCTTGATCACAGGAGCCTGAACCTGAAATATACTGGGCTGGTGTAAAATAAAATTATGGAGCAGTTGTAAGCTCCCAGGAAGTGTGTTTATTGGTTATTGGATCATTTTCTCTGCAAGCAGAGAGGGAGCTGTTAGGTAGAATGTTTAATTGTACAATAAAATGGAAAATGATTCTGAGACTTCAGATAACCAAAATGATTCTGATACTTCAGATAGCCACTACTCCACTGTCCAACAGTGGTAGGGAATGAAAAGGGACGCTTCAGAAGTGGGTTGGGAAATGTCTTTGATCCATGTGATTCAAGGCCCTCTCCTTCCCCATACAAGCCCCCCAGAGAGAAAAATGATGGCAGCCTCCAGAGCTGGCATAGTTCCTTTACCTTCCATTGAAACCAAAAGGGGGGAGAATGTGAAAAGGACAACCAAGTACAAATAGTGTCGGGATGGGGGTGGGGGAGAGTTGCTCCACCAGTTTCTGCTCTTGCAAGCAGCAAGTCCAATGTGGTTTAGGAAATGGCATTTCCTTTGCAACTGACTCTCCCCCTGCCCTCCATAGGCTCTGTAAAACTGGACACAAGTCAAAATCAAAGCTGAGCAATCTGCTATTTATCTTATTCACAATACAATAGGGCTCAGAGGATGTTAAAAGAATAAAGCAGAGAGAAAAGAAACTGACAATACTTTACTGAGGAAAACTGATTAAGAACAGCATATAACTCTAGAAGAAATAGCCAGAGGTTTTTCCTTCTTTACAGGGTTCAGGTCTACACTGGGTGTGGGGTATGGACTCCTTCAGAACAACTTTACACACACACCCAGCTCCTCGATCTCAACTGTCTTTTTCACTGACAGCTAACTCACATCTGACTAGAATCTCCATACGATCAGAGCATGCTGTCACCCAGACTAAAACCAAAATAGCCCTTTAAGTCATACACTGAATGGTCTCTGTTGTACTTCCAACCCTAGGAACACCACATTTGGTGGCTTTATTGTAGCTGAGCAGGTGAACAGGAAGTAAGGCATTGGAGGGCAAAGTATATAGCCAAGAGCTAAAGAGAATTATGGGAGGCAGGAGAGAGAGGAAGGAGGGAGGCATAATTCCCATCAGGAGACAATCTGACTGAAGGAACAATAACCAGAAATCCCTTCTAGAACAGCAAAGGTGCAAAATGATGCTTGAAATTATTGGCCATCCTGATGCACAGCCCAGAATATTTTTTAAGGGGGGAAAGAATTTCTTATTTGGTGGAAAGAGGATTACAATTCTTTAACACAGCAGTTTTAAAAAATAGTTCCTGTTGGAAGCTGCTCGGTGAACTGGATTAATGGAGAGAGTGCAAGGAAGGCTGTCAAGAGACCTTGAAAAATACAGCATATCACATCTGGATCTGTAATCTATCACATAGATGTCACCAGTCACAGCACACACTCACAGTGAGATTTTCAACGCAGTTTAAGATAGATGCTATAGGCAATCAATCCCTTTTTCATTTGATTTCCTGTGAAAAAGCTACACGGAATTTAAAACAGATGAAAGCTAATGGGTCTTTTATGCATTACACCCAAGTCCTATTTAATTTAACTGAAAATGAGATTCCACTTCTGCAAATGTTTGAAAGTCATAGAATTGGAGAGGTAGGTGTGATCCCCATCAAAAGATATATTGCAAGTATGGCACACTAGCAGGCCAAGTGTCCTTATTTACTCCAGAATTTGGAAGTGGGGCATTGGCGTAACATTTGCATGAGCGGCATGTGAGCAATCTGGGTTTGTGGCTTTGCTTCAGTGTTTGGTTGCCCTTTCTAAAAACAACAGCCATCCCTTTAATGCACATTTCTCATAATATGCATATATTTTTATTCGGTTTTGCTTAATATAATGCATTTTAGTGCTTTTCTCCCACGAATACATTTATTCTTATGCACATGTTTCCCCAACATACACCTTTGTGTGGCCATTTTGTTTTCACTGGAGAGCAGCTTTGCAAAATGTAGAGAAGGGCAACATTCAAAAGACAGCTGTGCATTTCTTTCAGGGGGTGCAAATTCTCCCCCATGCCAAACATGTGGCCCTCCATATGTTGGACTATAATAATAATAATAATAATAATAATAATAATAATAATAATTTATTTATACCCCGCCCATCTAGCTGAGTTTCCCCAGCCACTCTGGGCGGCTCCCAATCAAGTGTTAGAAACAGTACAGCATTAAATATTAAAAACTTCCCTGAACAGGGCTGCCTTCAGATGTCTTTTAAAGATAGGATAGCTGCTTATTTCCTTCACATCTGAAGGGAGGGTGTTCCACAGGGTGGGCGCCACTACCGAGAAGGCCCTCTGTCTGGTTCCCTGTAACCTCACTTCTCGCAATGAGGAAACTGCCAAAAGGCCCTCAGCGCTGGATCTCAGTGCCTGGGCTGAACAATGGGGGTGGAGACGCTCCTTCAGATATACAAGACTACAGCTCCCATCATCCCTCATCAGTGCCTATGCTTGCTGGAGATTATTCCTGCATTGCAGGGGGTTGGACTAGATGTCCCTCGAGGTCCCTTCCAACTCTATAGTTCTATGATGGGAGTTCAGCAGCTGAAAAGTCACATATACCCTCCGCCACAGAGCCTCACGGCTCATCCTTCTCATTGCTTGTTCAGTATTGCTGTTGCTCTGCTCTTAAATGTGGCATGCACTTACCCCGATGATGCCAGACTTCTCAAGGTGCTGTGCAAGTGCTCTTCTCATAGTCCTTTATAACAATCGCGTATGACAGAGCAACTGCTGAAATCAATGGAGTTACAGCTGAGAAGATTTTTACCCAGTTCACTTTGCTGCTACCCTTTGATTATTACAAATGCAGCCTAAACAAACATTAAACATTGATGAGCGAACTGAAATGTGTCTGCATTGTTTGCTACAGCTGCTCTGGAGAGGGAAAGAAATCATTGGTTCAAAATGCCTTAGTTATGTCAATTATTGTCACGAAGGAGCTACTTGCTGCACTCATCGTTTCAGTAGCATATCCGAGATCTGTCCCACAGATCAGAGGAGATCATTTCCCCCTGAAACACTGATTTAATTCAAAACCCGACCGTTATAAACTTTGAATGATCTGTTCTACTGAGCATGACATCCCAGGACTCGTGATACATTGTTTTCTGATCCAGTGCTTTGAATAAGAATAAGAACAAAAAAGACTATTTGCCATGAAATGCCTGCTAATATTATGTGAGTTTGCAAAAAGAAATTCTGACTCAGATGTTTGGCCTAATCATCCTTCAAGTCAAGTGAAAGGGGCAGAAGCAGCCACTGTGTGTATGAAAATCTAATAATTGCAGTAGCCCTTTTCAGGTGAAGTGCTCACACAATCTGTCAATGCATTATTAGGAAGTGGAGCTGTGCCAATTAGGCCCCTCCCCTGACATTCAGTGGTTCCCTCCATTGAAAAAAATAAATGTGTCTCTGCACAATAGAAGCTGTTGGGTCTATTTGGTTTCTTAATATTTTCCCAGGACATTTGCATCTTTTAGGACAAGGCTTACTGTTCCCCTTTCAGGGTATCAATGTTACTGACAGGGCAGGTTTTTATGCAATGCCACATTGTTTAATAAATCATGGATATGTTAGCATGTAAAATAGAGCAGCACGGGCCGACTTATAAATAATTAAATGTTCATTTGCATAAAGATGAAGAGCATATTAAATACAGGAGAAACGGAACAAGATAGGACTGTATGTCCTGATGAAAGCAGGGAAAGAGGGAGGTCATCACATACACAGACAGCTGCAGAGAGGCACACAATCTCAGGTTGGGGTGGTGGTAAAATTCACTGCAAGTTTCAAAGGCCTGCTCCTGCACACATTTACGATTTCATTTTTTAATAGAACAGCGTATTTTAAGAGAGTCTGTTGTTGTTGCTTTCCTAACCAGGGATGAAGGCATTCTTGAGAAATAATTGTAATGCAGTAGTGACAAAAGAAGACACAACTGGAAGAATTCCTTTCTTAAGGCCTAAGACAAGGATGGGGAACCTGTAGCTCTCCAGATGTTGGACTGTCATCCCTGACCGTTAGGCACAATGGCTGGGGCTACTGGAGCTTGGAGTCCAATAGTATCTGGAGGGCTACAGGCTTCTGTCCCTGCTGCAGACACAGTGGCCACTTCCTTTGATCACACTGTGCCTTGACCAGTTTCCCTAGCATTGTTGTTTCCCACCCTCACTCTCCACACATACTGTTCCTCTTGAATTTAAGCAACGGATGAAGATAACCTTCTCTCGGATTGGTCTCTTCTTGCCTAAACCCCTTTCTCCGCTGCCCTTTTAATCAGGTCACATTTCTTTTAGCTTTTTTTAAACCCCAGTCCACTTCTGATTAGTCTGTACCTTTTGTTTTGCTCTGTGACCTCTTCCTAATCCCCAATTTACATTTAGCTTGATGTCTTTATAATCCCAACCAAACTGCCAATTTATCCTTCCCTTACATAAGTTGGACTGCCTGTTGTTTATAAGTTTGTTTTTTGAGCAGCCGGCTTGGCAAAGCTGAGGACCTAAGGTCGAGGATGAACCAGGATTCTCAGACAAGGCTTCTGGGAGGTCATCAGCACAGCAGGAGCATTCAGCCTCTGAAGCAAAATCTGAGGTTGAATGGGACCTGAGCCTACATGAGCAACAGCACCTTAAACAGCAGGTGGAATCCTACTCCATAAGAAAAAATTACAGGAGTCAATAAAAGACTCCTCGGGAGTCAATGTCTCCTCACAAGTAAGGTCCTTCTCATGAGGAGAGCTCTCATTGACAACAGCTGGTGGAATTCAGCTTGAACCTGGGTGTGGCTTCAGCAGCTGCAGGTCAGTGCCAGGCTGGAAGAGCTACTGGAATAATGTTTTTTCTACTAGCATTGTGCCTTGCACCTGACCTTTGTTGCCTAGAAGCAGAACTCAGGCTTCCCCTTGACTTGCCTGAGCCCTTCCTTGAATCTCTGCTTACCTGGACTGCTCATCAATTTGCTTCTTGCTTGAACCACTGTTTGCCTGAGAATGGACTTCATTCAGACTGGCCTTGGATATTGCTGCTGTCCGTGGCAGCTCTGCTGTCTGGAAGTTCCCCAGCAACTTGGGACCCAACTAGGACAGGACACGAGTTTGTGTAAAATGTCTTCCTCTAAACACAGCACAATTTTCCACCAAGGTCTGAAACCCCCACAGTTTGAAAAGAAAAAGAAAAAAAGACTCCAGTTAAGCCTGTGCAGTTACCAAGCACACTTGAGCTCCAGGATTTAGAAATTTAGGACAGGTGAGGAAATTGGTTGCTTTTCAGTCATTGTGAAGTCATCCCATGGGAACAGCACACTGTGCCACTAATGGGAGATAACCTGTGTTAATGAGAGGCTTAATGAGGCAGTTTGCTGAGAGGTCAGCAGATTTGTCCATGACAACAGTGGAAAGAAATGAGGAAATGTACAATCACCCCAGAGATGCTGGTAATATCACCAGAGAGGCTTGAGTCTGAGGCTGCAAGTTTGAAGAGTAGCCAAAAGCCAAATCTCTTAACAAAGAGATACCTTGTGGGTTTACAAGGCCACCTTTGAGAGCTTGCCTCTTAATCCTTGCCTCTTAATGAACCTTCTGTTAGTCAGAAGGATTTACTATTGATAATTCATGTACACTTTTGACATTGTTTCTCATAACAGGTTTTCTTCATGCCACATTCCCTGCCTGAGTGGGACCATAATCCTGTTAGTGATATCACTGTCTGTTGCTATGGAAATGTACCTGGTGATACAAATTCAGCACAATAATGCCTTCTCTGCTTGATCAACAGTCAAGAAGACATATGCATGTGTATTTGTGAGTGACTGTAACTGTTGTATTATGTCTTTCACCAGAGTCAAAAAAGGCGCTGTCTTTAAGTACTAGGAGTCCTGGGCATGCATTAGGGACTAAGTAATTGTAAACCTAAAGGGTATTGAGAAACCTTTGCATGATAAATACATTTATTTGTCTAGAGTCCATGTAAGTGGAAATAGAACATTGACTAAACAACATAAATGGTAGGGCTGTGCCTGGGTCCCAAGATTCATCATGTATCTATATTTCTGTTTTGGTGAGTTTTGGGGTTTGTTTGTTTTTTACAACTTTCTGCGATCTCTTCGGTCTGTGTTTCTTTGAGTGGCAAACCATCAGGGAATATATGCAGTGAAGTTGATGTGGACCATGAAGTCACTTCTAGTTCTTAGATTCAGATGGCCCTATTCAGTAGGGCCTATTGTGGACAGTGTAGTGCTCTGGAATCCCAGAGTTCATGGTCCAAGGCTGTGGTACTGTATATCTGGACCAAGAAATGATCTGAAATGAAATTACATGCTTATACACACCAATATACCTCTTGAGAGTCCCATGGACTGCAAGAAGATCAAACCTATCCGTTCTTAAGGAAATCAGCCCTGAGTGCTCACTGGAAGGACAAATCATGAAGCTGGGGCTCCAATACTTTGGCCACCTCATGAGAAGAGAAGACTCCCTGGAAAAGACCCTGATGTTGGGAAAGATGGAGGGCACAAGGAGAAGGGGACAACAGAGGACAAGATGGTTGGATAGTGTTCTCGAAGCTACCAGCATGAGTTTGACCAAACTGCGGGAGGCAGTGGAAGACAGAAGTGCCTGGCATGCTCTGGTCCATGGGGTCACGAAGAGTTGGACATGACTAAACGACTAAACAACAACATATACCAATAGCACATAGGCCGAAACCATTGAACTAGTCTGGAGAAGGTGACAGATAGCACCTGTCTCAGATGATCTGCATGTAGTCTCCATATGTTTGATTACCTAGTCAGGCATTACAGAGTGAGCAGAAGGACATTCTGTTATAGTTGAAAACACATCAATATGCAAGTCTGCTTTCAGTCACAGAAATAAAGACAGGCAAGACTGAATGCAGCAGCTCTACTGTCTAGCCTAGGCTACAAGCAGGCATACATTCTCTGTGATCAGATGATGGTAGAAGTTCGACTCCCTTATGTTACAACTTCACTGGAGCCTGATTGCTGGAATGCGGGTGACTAACTGATTTCTGAGTGGTAACATGTTTTCTTCCCCTGAATATACTGACTTTTTCATTTCCTAAAGTAAAAAAAGTTGCATTTTGAAGGAGCAGAACAATAATTCTGGTTACACTTCTTATTACAGCTTGTTCACTGAAGCTACGAAAGGGGGGGAGGGGAATGAAATTGGTACATGACAGGCAGCTATTCCCTTCCATAATGCATTTAGGTTCAGACTGCATTTTGAACTTTGATGTGAAGGCTTTGGAATTAAAAAGCTGCCCCTGGAGAAATGCAGAATGGTCTGCAAATATGACATATTCCTGTCATCCTCCCCTCTCCCCAAACTAAGCATTGCTAAGTTTAGCTGCAACACTCCCAACAGGAATTGCTCAGCAAAATCCCAGGGCACTACTTTGAACATTTCAGGGGATGTGCTGTCTTGCACTATCAAAGGCTCATCCTTGCTGAATATACCTTTGATCATAGCTGGGAGAAAGATTTGCAACCATGTGAAACTTGACTCATTTGGGGTTTCATTATACACTTTGACCATTTTCACTAAAGCCTTTGCTAAAGTTCGCAAACTATTTCAGTTGCACCTTTGATGGGTTTCTGACAGAGTTTTGCGAGAAATTCACAGATTTGCCAGGAAGCTAATGGGAAATGTTTCAGAGTTCTAGGCCCATCTGATTGCGCAAAACTCACCATATGCTATAGAGAAATTTAAGAATGCAGAAGTTATTTTGAAAGATCTCCCAAAAGAGAATAAGCCAATGGTCCATCCAGTCCAATTTTGTCAGCTGCAGTTCTTGGGCCTATACCTGCTTTTGCTTCAAGGGAATGGAAGATGTAAATATTTTAATGCCTTAGAAGCAAGAAGCTGGTTAGGGATGCAGCAGGACCTTTGGACTGCAAGCAAGGAAGATGTGCTAAAGAAGGAAAAGGAGGTTTAGAGATGCTGAATGTACTCTTCATGGTTGTTGTTGTTGTGGAGGTTGGGGTGATAAAAAAAATCAGTCCTCTTTTCAGATGGGGAACATCCCCTCACTCACCCACTTAAGGATATTCTACCATTCTCAGGGGAGTTTATTTTCTTTCAACAAAGTAAGCTGCTCACGTAGATGTCAAACAAAGCTTTAAAAATAAAGAAAACTGTAGCACAGTAACGTACTGTGTGAGAGAAACTAAAACAACATCATGAGGCAAGAATGACAGTTGGCCTCTCTAACTGAACTTAACTGAACTCCCGAAGGGAGGGGCTGATTCCAGAGCACAACACAAACGCCCTGCCCACCAGAAGACAGACATTCTACTAACAAAAATAATAATAATAATAAAATTGTCCAGTAGCACCTTATAGACCAACTAAGTTTGTTCTGGTATAAGCTTTCTTAAGAAATGTGCATGCACACGCAAACTTATACCAGAACAAACTTAGCTAGTCTATAAGGTGCTACTGGACTATTTTTTATTTATTTTTTATTTCAACTGTGTCAGACCAACACAGCTACCTACCTGAATCTACTAGTCAAATTAGGCCCCAGTGTTTTTCTTACAGTTTTCACAGCAGATGACACAGAGAAAATAATTGTGCCTGAAAACTGTAGAGCCAAGGCAAATGATGGTGGCAAGAGATGATGTTCTAGGCCTTATTGATAAATGAATTTATTTATTTTTTAATCCCTGGGCCAAGATGATAACCACCTGAGAGTTTTTAAAGAACACACGTATGAAATTACTGATCTTCTAATGAAGCTATGTAACTTATCCCACAGCAATTAAAGTTGCCAGCAGGGGTGCAGGAACTCACTGCATGGTGGTCCCAACATGTGGCCTGTTCCACTTCACAGTGGAGGTGAGAGGTGGGAAACAAGCTGTCCTAGGAATAATAGGATTGCAGCCGCAAATACCAGGTATACAAGCTCTGAGGAAATTGCTTTAATGCTGCTGATTTATTTCTCTTTTGATTGCTGTTTCTTTTACTCTGTTTTACAATCTTGTTGTAAGTGAGTTTGGAAATGTTTTATGTTGAATGGTCAAGATACAATTTAATAATAATATTTATGAATTAGCCTTAGAATTGGCCCAAAACTAATGATGTGTCATTAGCAAGCATGTGGATGAAACCCTAAAAAGCTGACGTACAGCATTATTACTGATGGGCTAAAGAACATATTCAGGAAGATACTAGGGCATAAACTGGAAAGGTTATTGCTGAGTTACCTCACAAACGGTGTTGTCTGCCAAGCTTCCGTTGTCTGGAATTGGGCAACTGTTTGTCAACACCTCTTCCACTGAGTAAATTAAAAAGAAACTGATTGATCATTTCTCTTTGTACCTAGTTCTATCATGAAAGAATTGTTTTGTTTCTTCCTCATCCCCAGAACATGTTGTTCAGTATAAAAAAGAATCACTTCTCAAAAGCATATCCTTCTTAATCAATGTTCACCTAGTCTTACAAAGAAAGATGAGTAAATCTGACTGACCTCTTCCTTATGCTATTCATGTTATAAGAAAAGATGGAGTCAGAGTTTGCATTCCAACTGCTTTTATATGAGAAATATGAATAATTAAATTACTCATGTATAAACAAAGCAAACCCTCAGGCACTCCCTCAGACATCAGTGCTTCAAGCATTTCCCACACTTCTCAGTTTAAGTATTTAAACCTAAGCTAGAGGAATTTATTGAAGATGTTTTCAGATGCTATTGTGGCACCATTGAGGTCCATGGTTTTTTTATTATTCCCATCCACTTTAGTGGGCACAAAATTGCACTTCTTGCTGCTTCCTGGTTGAGCAACTGTTCACTAGGGAAGGACTTGACCATACATACCCTCAGTGAAGCACTCTGCTCTTTGTGAGAGCTAAATGAAGCTATAATTTCAGACTGACAATATGGCTTTGGAAAGCCCAGCATGAAGTAGGTATCTTTCATTAAACCAAGAAGGCATTTCCTAGGTGTGTGGGGAAAATATTGCGCCTGGGAAAGGGAAGTGGGAGTCAACAGACACTCAAGGAATAGTTTCGGAGAAAAGGCTTTTTATTTCTACCATCCATGAACTGGTAGAAGGAGCAAGTGTGGTAGTTCACGAAAAGCATGCACGAGTTCACAATCATGTGCACAAGCATATATACCCCTTCCAGATCCCTCCCCTTTTCTCCTCCCTCAGGAGTCCTGCCCCATGTTGAGGTTCCTGAGCATGTACAGAAAGCTGTCTTGGGACTATTGGACTCTTGGCACCTTTCCCAGGAAAGGGGAGTGAGAGCCAAGGGGTCGAGGAGCCCTGGTGGTTCAGCATGTCCAGAGATGTTGCAATCTGGTTAACAAAGCCAACTAGCCTGAGAAACAATGGGCTGTGTTCTTTTTAGTTACAGCAAGCGGAATGTTTCTGATGCTTAGCTGCTGAGAAAATGATTTTGAAAAGCTTTGAGAAGCTTTGAGCCTGCTTTGGGGGGTGTGACTTCGGGCCTAGGTGGGGTCACCTGTCTTCACCTTCCTTCAATCCCTCATGGAAATAAAGACAGTGGAGACAGAATTTAGTTTAAATGTTAATGAGCTAATTTTGGCCACAACTTTATTGAATACACAAATGTGACTGGTATTGACTTAGGCAATGGTATCAAAACTATAACTGGCTCCTGCCCCACCCTGCAGGAAGCCTGTAAGTGTAAACAACCAGCAGGGGGATCTCCGTCAGTGTATATTGACTGCTGCTGACCCCTGGGGTTCCCGGGGGTCCTGGCATGGCCCTAGCCCCTCTCTGGGCTACGGATGAGATCCAGACCCCCGGATTCCTTTAACGGAATACCCTTGTCATTGGAGGGGCAGGTGATGGCTGCACCTCCCCTCCCCACATTCCCCTAAACCAATGCCTAACCGCCAAACCTTACAAAGTTGTGACGATTGCTAAGAGGTAGGCAAAAACCAAGTGGCCACAGCCAATCTGCCACATTGGGGAAAATTCCTACCCAGCCCCTGTTCCAAAACAGGCGACCAACCGAAGTCCAAAGCAAGGCCAAACACCACCTAATTAATGGGTGGGTGGGTGTTCGGCAGCGCGAAGCAAAAGGAGGTCCTTACATCGCGCTGCCAACCCCCAACCTTTGCCATGATGCTGGTTGGCTAAAGGCCAGTGGCATAACTGTGGCACCACCGGCTTGGAGCAAGGCAAGCCCCACCCACAAGCCGGTTGGGGAAGAGTTTCAGGGGCCGAGCACAACATGGACCCTCTGTTAGGAGGATCCAACTTATGAAACATGGCAAAAACTTTTTTATACCATGGGGAAGTGCTTCTTTGTAGGCTACAACTTGGTACAAGATCTAGGAAATGTTTGGGCTCTGTACCAGTTGGCTCTGTACATGGAACCAGTGACTAACTTGGAGCCTCCTGGCTTTCAGCTTCCTACCCTACAACCTAAATTTCACTTCTAGAACTTCACAACTATATTTCCCCATGTCTTTGGTGCCAGCATGGACCACAACCACCAACTCCTCCCTGGCACCATCTACCAGGCTGTCTAGGTGATGGGCAGCATCTGCAGCCTTTATACCAGACTGGCAAATCACCCTGTGGTCTGTACACCCATCACACACCCAACTCCCTATGTTCCTTATGATCAAATAACAAACTACCAGTATTTTAACACACCCCAGAGAAGTATACTCAACATGGGAGGGGTGTTATCATCTCCCAAGGAATAGGTCCTTCTAAAGGACCATTTCCCTCTTCCTCAAAGTGATGCCTTCTTTCCCCAAGATCCTCATTCTCTATGACAGTGGGGGAGCTATGAACCTGGGAGTGGGACACAGCTCTAACGTCCCTGAAGGCTTTGTCCAACAACTTATCAGCTTTTCCAGGTTAGCCACCTTGGCTTCAAGGAAAGAAACTTGTGTCTAGACAGCCAGGAATTCATTGGCCAAGCACACTGGCCAAGCACATTCTATCCAACAGGCAGGCAGTGCATCCCCACCCACCCTACTGAGTTGCATTATTATTAGGTTTTGTTTACGTCAAGGAATGCAAGGGTAACTAACATGCTTCCTAACTTGCTTGGCTGTTCAGCTTCAAACAATCTATAGTTTGGGGAAAGCGTTGTAGCTCAGAGGTAGAACACTGCATGCAAATGATGGCAGATTCAACCCCGAGGTAGGACTGGAGACCCATATCTGATATGCTGAGAGTACTGGAAGTTGCTGGCCAAGAGGACCCTAGTTCCCATAGTGAGTCCAGCTCAGGAGATGCTATTTATGAGATTTCAGGGGCTCTGGATTCTAGTGGCTCCCAGCTGTCAGGTTCAGGCTTGCCATGAGGACTTGAGTCCAGTGCCTTCATCAGAAGGCATCCTCCCTCAACTGTCCAAGTCCTGGCTATTTTTCAAGGTCAAAGTCTTGAAAGCCTGTTTGTAGATGCAACCCAGCAGAAGCCCAGGTGGATATAGTTATGTGGCCCTCTGGCTAATGGGAAGAATATTGTCTAGAGACATGAATAATGTACATGGCCATGGTGAGGCTAAGCTACTTGTGTACTATTGAAAGCTGGCATAGCAAGAACAAAAAATATATATCATTGGGTGGTGATGATGGAGAAAGAGGTACATAGCATTATGGCTTACTTAGTTTAGCATTTAACTGTAAAGTATTGATAGAATTCTGCATTTTGTTTTTTATTGTGACCTTGGCTCATCTCTCTATTAGCTTTCACACAAAATGAGGGAGCAACTCATATTTCATTCCCTTGTGTAGTAAAAGGAGCATGGCCTTGTTAAAAAATGTAAGATGGATGAGGTGTGCAAAAACAGAAAACAACTGCCAGTGCAAGTAATATTCAAATGCAAAGCTGCCTTTTTCTCTAAGTTTGGGAATGTTTCTCAGAGCGATCTACTATGGCAGTGAAAGAATTTCTCTTGCGACATTTATCTTCATTGCTCCACCCATTTTTTCCTCTGGCTCCATCCACCACTGGTATGTGACCCTTGAAAGAGAATGCAGCTCTTGGGCTGAAAAAAACCGGTTCCCACCCCTGACACACATGAAACCCTTTTGCCTTAGTCTTAGCCTCCAACCCCAGTGAATGGAAGCTAATGTAATCTAGGCAAGTTGTTTCTGAGAGGCAGGCAGAGGGCAGGAAGAAAGGGGGAGCAGAGTGCAAAGGCTCTTGATTTCTTTTCTTTCTTTTTTTAAAGTGCTTTGGCATCAAGACAAGCTTTCCTCTTGAGGCTAACAGCAGCTTTTGGGGTGAGGGAAGGGAATTTAAATTTGGACCATGTCTTGTGTAGGCCACCTCCTTCCTGCAACCCCAATTCTCAGGTTGTTGTTTTTTAAGAATCAAAAAAACCTTAAGTAATATATTTGATATCATGTGTAATTTGGCTGACAGTCTCTGGTCAATAGTTGAATCAGTGGTGGTTCCAAGTTTCAGGAAGCCCAGAGCCAAGCATCCTTGTGGAGTTCCATGA